CTACCAACGAATTGCACTGCTATTGTTGAACGATAATATGGGGAAGCTGGTGGCTCCATCAGCATTATGCTTCGAAACTTCGTAAGGTTCGCTTCATCTAAGCAACGACCGTCATCGACCGTCTGAAGATGTTCCAGCATGTCTTCAAGCTCCTTATGGGATGTTCTGTCTCACCTATTGTGTTCAGCAGATCTGGCCCCAACAGAATACCGTGTACTTCTGTTGCTGCTGATTCAACTAAAATAGGGAGAGCTTCGTGATCCGTACTACTCAAAAACGGAGTTCTTCCAGTTTTATGGCTCTAAAGCTCAGGATTTCTAGGCAAACGGCATTCAAGAGTCAATTACTGAAACTAAGTATGTTAACGACTATGATGGGGCATATGATTATAAATTGCTGACTGGGCTAAGGAAGAAAAGCGGATGTGAAAAAAAAACATAAATGGGCAAAGACTTCAGGGCAACCTAATAATACTACTGGATGGGATATTCTCAGGTCGATGCATGATTCTGTGGCTGAAGCATATGCATGTGGACGTCTAGCTGATGTCCTCAGGAAACAACACTCATTCAGAGAAGGCATATATCACGCTGCTCGCCATGTAAGCTTGGCCGAAAAGAACCTGGACGAGGTTTCACCACTTATCTACACCTTCTCTCTGTTAAATTTAGAATAGATCACTCAAGATCTATGCCTAAAAAGTTTTCAGGATTGTAAGTCTTACGGTTACTTCACCTTAGCATCACAATACTACTTCCGTGCGAAGTACCACCTCCTGGAATCGGATTCATTTGAGGTACACAATCGCACATTCTTGAAATTTGATTTGTTAGAGACCGGATTAAGAGTAATCAGCTTTTGGAGGCAACGATTACAATAGGTTCTAGAGGGGTTTAGAGGAAAACTGGGACGCTAATGGCGGAGAGCGAAGAGAATTCCATCCAAGAAACGCGAAAGGGGCCCTCTTGATTAGCCTTTGATCTTTGCTGAAGGACGAGCAGCGTCAAGGCGGACGTATGGAGAGCCTACCGCAATGTGTTTGGTGGCATCATATCATTCCATGCCTCAGTCGAGTTGCTCCAGTTGTGCTACTACCAGTAACACAGCTCGTCCAAAATATGACTGAATTAAGCTCTACGTCCACCTTGACTAGTGGGCGCATTGCTTTCGAAGTCCTGCTCAGCAACCAGCGCAATAATACCGCCGTGGAAGCGTCACATCTCGCTTTCTTGGCTACCAAAAAACTGCTTCGTGTGGCGCATATACTTCCCAGATGCCCACCTTTATCGTAATCGCTTCCTTCAATCCAATGAGTGCGATGGCTGTGATGCGGAGCGGGATGAAATAATTGGGTGCCATTGCTGGACGGTGTTGGGAAGTGGTCCATAGACCCTTCCATCACTCCCCCTCCCATACCAGCAGGTGAGGAGTCTCTCCCATAAATGACGCCTATGACGTCATCAGAATGGTTCCGCATCTCCGTCATCGCACCCACTTTTCTTGAAGTTTATTAAGCAACGGGTTGATTTAGATAGAACTAGAAGTCAAATCGGAGGTCATAATGTCATTCGTTACGCCTTTCCTGGCAGTATTCCAACTATCAGGCTACTATAACCTATTCTACCACTTCCGTAGATTTTAGGAAGACAAGGATTTGGACCATCGACTAGGCACTTTGAAAATGGATTTGGGTCTATCAACAATAATAGAGGATCTCGAGAACGCCGTGAAATTCTACACGTAATTCTCTGGAAAACTTTATACAGAAACCTTTTCTTCTATCAATGCATTCCATTCAGTTCGCAGTTCAAACAAGATGCTAATTCTTTGTTCCATACAACGCAATGAAATAAATAGTGCGCGCGCGGTTGTTCAGGTTACGCTGTTGCACTACACATTGTATTGAACGTACAGGGTGGGCAAGAATCACAGTAACAAGAGGTTGCCGCTGCCAACCATTAATTTTGAACACTAGGAGTTTTTAACTTCTATTCTGTGCACTTATTTCGATAATTCAGTGTTCCGCCTTTCATTTCCTCACATGAAATACCAGTTCGGAATGGGCAATCTTGTAACTTCTCAAGAAATAGTCACAATTTTGGCTCCGACCATCTGTTTGATTGTGTTGCTTTACAAGACGATTCAGATGCCTTTTGGAACTCGTCGAACACAATTAAAAACCTAAATAGGCTGTTTACGAGCACCAGTGAGCCTGACCATGAAAGTGTTGCTTGTACAAGTTCATTAGCAATATCTCATTGATACGCGCGGGGAAGTGCTGAAAGGCAACTTGCTGAACCCGTTGTTTGGTCGCTGGAACTGCTACCGACGCTTTCTCGCAACGCCTTATCTGCACACCCCTCAGGGGGTTTCACCAGCATAAAAATGTCTCCCCGTAAACCGAAGCTGGAAAATGGATAGAAGCAAAGATGCTAAAAGAACTTGTCTCGATTGCGTAATGGCTTCCTTTATGGGTCGTTTATTTTGAGGAGAAAATTTTCTGCTGTCTCGAATAAGAAGAAGAGCTGGAGTAATGCTGTGTGATAATGCTTAACGCAGCCATTTCTAATAATGGTTTTCGCAGAACCGCTAAGAGCGATTAATCTCGATTTGGAATGTCCCCGGATGCTGGCTGCTCAATATTATAAAACCTATTAGTAGAATGATCCCGAATCCGTTCTCTCGGTAATGAATCAACGAAAGGACTGGTTCTGGTAGGAAACAGCACGACATAAGGGCAACGGGTTGGGACCCACACTAGTGGGCGTAGATTGCCCAAATTTGATTCATTGTTGAATATGCGTGGATTACAGTCCTTATTACAGAAAGTGACACAACATGGGTCTCGAGTCGGTGTCTGTTGAGTGCTCTTATCCGATGCTCAGGTACAGCATCAAGCAGAACTTGAGCTAAATATGCTAGAGCATTAGGAACAGTTGGGCAGGTTCGCACTGGGTAACACCCACCTTTCCGAGAGGGTCGTTGTGTTCCGGAGTAAGTCTTCGGTTTATTGCGCCGAAAGTCTTTAAAGAGCTATCAATTTATATTGATAATTTCTATCAACTATGATGTGAGTTTTATGAAACTTTCGTCAAGTCACATTGCTTTTTGTGACCATTTTATGTTGTTCGGTAATGGGTTTGCCAGCAGGTAGAGGTCCAATCCTTCACAGAACAGTTTCTCGGTGCATGCGGTTCTCTACTGCTATATCCGATCGTCAAATCGAAGTGATCGTATTTTGTGGCTGCTGCTTTTTGGTTGAAGCTCTTAGTCTGAAGACAAAGGTAGTAATGAAAAATAGGGCATCATATTCGTTAGAGGGTATTGAAGTTTGGATGGGCCTTTCTACGCTTGAGCTCAAGGGTCGGGTTCTAGGGGGACGTGGAGCTTTTTGTGCTTCCTGGATTTTTACTCTCTGGTCGTTTAAAGACACGGTTTTGGCGCGATTGATTGATGCTGTATTTTTTTCTAAATATTAGGCAAGGGCTAGCAATTGTGAGGAATTATTGAGGAGAAAGAGAGCATGTAGAGAACGATCTAATTTTTCATTACGATGCCGGCGTGGTAGCACGACGAAGGACCGCGCTGCGAGGGAGAGGGAGAACGCGAGATAGTACGTCGTACGCGAGAGAAGCCAGTAGACACGTAAGGCGTGGTGGGATTACGCTGTCAGCGCGGGCGCGGGTGGGCAAGGCCTTCGCGCAATGCTACGAACTTTCGGGTGCGGTAGTGTTGCGCCGCTCGTATTTGGTTGAGCCCACTCTCGCACCCTGGGAAGAAACGTTTCAGGTAGCAGATCCTGACGCATTGGCTTATTAGTCACTACCAGCGCCGTTTTCAGTAAGGAATCTGTTTGGATGTCTCCCTAACATAGGCATGAGGCCTCTTTAGTCGGGAGCCCGGAAACAAATGCGATTAGCAGCTTCGTCATATAAATCCAATTGAATGATTAATGTTTAATCAACAATGCCTTTAACGACTGCTCTTCCTCCTGCTCTTTGAGAAACTTAGAAAGGTTGGGTATCCCTTTATCTGTGAGGACAAGATTGTGGGACACTGTTTTCTAGTTTCGCGTCTGGGTACGAGATGGAACGGAATATAGGACTATGTGGTTGTGAGAATCGTTGCCGAATCACCTTCTTTCAGAATGTGCAGTGAGGGCTTCAGTAAGCTCGGACACGAGCGAAAGTTAGCGACTACTTTTTATTACATCGCTGATGCTTATTTCCTTCTGGGAGATTGTAAGAAAGCTCTTCAGTATTTATTGAAGGTAATGAGCACTCCCTTCAGAACTATTGATCTCCATCTTACTAATAATTCTCCAGGCTATGAAAATTGGAGAACAATTTGATGATAATCATTTAAAGCAACTTATTTACTCTAAATTAAGTAGTACTTATGTACTTTTGTCTGAGTGCCAACTTGCTAGCAAATTCAGCAGGTAATTTGAACGTAATACCTTTTATGGACATGTGCGGCTACGCCGTGATGCCTTCTAGCTAGCATAAGACACTGTTGTACTACCACAGGTACTACTCACATGCTAGTGACGAAAATAGGACTATTGAGAGCGTAAAAGCACAATTCGCGTTGAGCGTACGGGAAGAGCGATTCGTAAGAGTGCGCCGTTTCTTGGTGGTGTGAGCCGTGGTTGAGGGATTACTCGACGGGGGGTCGTTTTGTGTCGTGAGGCATGGGTTTTCTTATGAGGACATAGCGACAATGGGAAAACGAAGGGGAGGGGAAATGGTGGGCCGAGTTATGTCCAAAATCACAATGATAACATTGACATAATCGACCAGAGTGCGTTGCATAGATCGTTCAGGTCGTTCAGATGGGGGAGGGGGTGGGGTACTGTTGCGGCCAGTTCCTCGACGAAGGTCCACCCTGACTTGAAGCAGAAGAAGCAGGAGAGCGCACCGTTTTAGCTACTCCGTGTACATTGAATATATGTGCAGTCAGCATGGAAAAATCCTTAAGACCGCCACACGATCGAACACGACAGTTTTGCACGAATGTGCCGTTTTGATAGAACAATATGAAGCTTTTATTTCAGGGAAGCCGTTAAAGCCAGGATTCGCATTAAAGAGGAAAACACTTGCTCATGTGCTGAGAAAGACTGTGGATTATCGCATGAAAAGCTCCATGAAGTCTGGAGTACGTGTTCGAAATTTTGCGCAGTCCCGATATAGGTCGCTCAGGACGAGCAGTGTTTTCTCGGAACCGTTTTGTGCATGACATAGGTAGATATGAGCAACAGAACTATGGACCATTTTCGCTGAATGACCCTTCGGATGTCAAGTACAGGTAAAAAATGGTCCGTGGTTTGATTCCTGCGGTTGCAAACTTTTGAATTTTAAGCTGACGACATAAAATTGGCGCCACATAATGAGCAATCGACTAGGTGCTAGAAACGACTGAATTGCTCGTGAAAGAGATGTCTCCGTTTTTACTGAGAACAATATTGAAAATGTAGGAGCAGCGATGGACTCAAGTACATTCAACAAGTCGTTTGTCTCCCGTGATAGCGATCATGTGCACTTCTTAGTAAGTACTCGTCAGAAGACATCCGCTTTCGTAAGCCTAAAAAGGTTCAGCTCTCGAATGGAGCGAGTAAACTGAAAAGGAAATGGAACAGGACAGAGGCATTGTCTCAATGCAGTTTGCCACCTTTTCCACTGATGAGGGAGTACTCACAGTCGAGTTTGTCTTGAGTGAATAGAGCGACAAAGCTTCAACCCAAAAACGTCAAAGCTCAACGTCAGAGATAACTGAGTCCAGAAACAGTGACGTGGGTTCCCGGACTCAATTATGGTTTTTGCAGTGATCAAATCGAAAACCATGTCACTTTTGGCTTTTATTTAACAATGCGTCAAATTGGAAAGGGAAGTATTATTTCGGACTTTATCACTCAAATAATTCTCCAGACGAAGGGAATGAATAACGACCACATTGAACTGTAGAACCGGCAGACGAGGAAATTTGTGTGAAGGCACTGCCAGCTGAACTGCTCAGAGATCGCTGCGTTTGGAAAATGGCCACCTAGAGTCCAAAACACAGATCTACTGGTTTACGCCTCATAAAGAGTGGGGAAGAAGAGGCGACGAACGTCTGGCTTGTACGGGCTGGCAAGCGGCAAATTGCGCGGCAATCTGGACGACAAGTCTTCCGGGCTTTTGCAGTGGAATTCAGTACGTCAAAGGGTGTGCGGATCGCGGATCAAATCCGCAAGGTGCTGCGAGTTGAATTGCTTTCCAACGCGTGGAGAATTGTGGAAAGCAATTATGGTAAGGAAACTTCAGTTGGAAAAGATGAGAAGGACATCAGGGCGTTCATGTAGTTGGGAGAGGGGGGAGGTGAAGACATTCGAGTGAGTGAGCCAACTACTGTGCTCAATTTAAGATTCAAGAAGTTGTAGGAATCCAGGAGGAGAATGCGAGCAGTTTGCGTCTCCCTGACATTTCTCCATTCTCCTGGACTTATGGTTAGTTCTGGTCTGATCTACCATCGCCCCTGTTTTGAATGTTCCCCTTGAGGGTGTGAGCGTCGCGATCAGAAAGCATTTTTTATGAAGGTTGTATGTATAACTGGGACTAAATAAAATAACTATATCGCAGTAAAAACTCCTAAATGTAGTATTTCTTATTCGCTTTTCCGTTATTCGTGATACTAGTGACAACTCATGAAGGTTTCTCTCTGATTTTGTGCTGAAATCTCCTCACCAAGACTGCTGCATACAGACTCCACTGGACTCTTCACTTTTCAGCTCACAGAATCATGCGGAGTTTATCAACAGTCTGCACACGCACGTTGAATTCTACTGCAGAACGCGCGAAGCCCTGTCCCATCCGGATTGTCGCGCGCGCCGCTGCGCCGCTGCACAATTTGCCGCATGTCAGCCCGGACGAGCCAGAAATCCCGCACCGGGGAAGAAGAGCACCTGCTGTCGACGGGAGACGGTCAATTCAATCGTCGGCTAATGAGGTCACGCCGCTCACGCGGCGGGCAGCGTCTTGCGCGGCAGCTGGTGCGGCGATTTTTGAGACTTGGCTTCATGGTCCATGTCCACAAGTTGCTGGTAGGGTGATATCTGACAAGACCAAAGTTCCAGATATCAGTGAGCCAACAAGCGTCCCCTTAAGATCTCGGTAGTTATTTAAGCCTCACTTAACAGAGCTTGTGCCATGTCGAGGTTGTACTCTCGAGCACAATTTGACTCCTTTAATAACCAACTGTCTGAACTGTTATCAAAGAGCATAATCTGGCTCAATCGGAAAATATTACGCTCTAAGACGCAGTGGAACGGTGAGAAAGGCAGTAGCATTATTATGACGGAATACGTTTGTGAATGATGGCAAGGGACAAGGAAGCTGTACTTCAAGGGGGCAGGTGATTAGATACTGTGTTTCACGACTGCAAACTTCATCTAATCGTACATTCCTCCATGCTAGAACCATGAATTCTGGCTACGGCCGACGTCGCATCGCGGGCTGCGGCGGCTGGCGCGGCAACCTAGCCACTGCCACGATTGAATCGTCACGCACCCGCTGTCGACATCATAGAGACGCTAATAGATTGAAGAAACCGTCTCATAGTGCCTGCAAGTGGCTAATCGAGAGGATCATGTGGTTTGCATTCATAGCCCTTCAATGAGCATAGTGTTCCGGCGGCCTGTTTAGTTGTACAGATTTTCTGTGACCGCTTCATCTTGTTACTGTAATTCCTGGCACCCTGTGGACCACGTTGAAGCGTAAACTGCAGTTTCGGACAAAATTATCTCCGCCCCTTTTTGACATTCGAAGGACCTTTCTGCGGAAATCATTGTTCCATTTTCCATATACCCTCTATCGTGCAAAAAAAATTGAAAAAGCGCGGCTTGCCCTGAAGGACCTTCTCTTGTCAGGGCGCCATGGACTAACAGTGGGGAACTTCCTTCAGATACTGGCTTGCGTTATCCACACTAGCTGGTCATTGCGCATAAAGGAAGTGATAACGATGGCTGAGCGTGCGTTTTGATGCGCCCTACACGTCACTGGAAAGGGGGTTGAGCCCGTGATTTCCATCACACCTCCCACCGCCCGCTCAAGAAAATCATAATCTACCACACGCCGTTCAACGACATATCGCAAAACATCCCTTCAGCGTCGTGATCCACTGCTCGTAGCGGGGCAAACCACTAGATAGCTGAAACTTGTGAAAAGGACATGCCTGCGAGTTTTTTGGAAGGTTGGTATCCACACTGAATCACTCCCAGTTCGTCGTCGAAAAATTGTTTCTGGCGCTAGTCCATACGGGCCTGCATTGTATCAACCTATATGCAAACGCTTCCACCTACCCCGATTAAAGTGGAAATCAGCGTCTCTTTCAACGCCGTAATCTCTGTCACGTGTTCTGTCTTCTTTGATCGCGCCGTTCTCGCCAACCTACCACATCGCGTCGAATTGAAGGGTAACAGCGATTAAAATTAGCGTCTTAAAACGTTTCCTTCCTACTTCTTTCAACCTTCAGTCGGTTCCGCACACTCACAGTCATACACAGGAGCTCTCTTGAATACCAGCAATCTTGAGCGCTTTCCTTTATTTTCCCTTTACTCCCTAGCTCATACAATCGCTTCTATTCAGTTTAAGTCACCTTGGTTTCGAAATTGAGTGCCTATGTTTGAATTCCCGAAGAAGGAATTGTGGCGTCACTTTCAACACCGCTATTTTAGCGTCAGCGAAGAGAACCGCGGATAATCGATATGCGATCACCTAAGAGTCCAACTGTATACATCGTACGAAGGAACCTGTTCATCAGAATAAAACGTGTTGTTGAATTTGTTTCTTACCCCGCTGAATTTCTTACGCAAAAAATAAAAACAAAACACTAAGTGAAAAACATAAATAAATAAACCCGCCATATACTAATATAGGTGCTGTTTGGTAAGTCTTGAATTAGGAGGCCCACCTCGTTCTTATCAAAGAAAAGCCGGTTACTCAATGAAAATATTCTCACTAGGTTAGGCAGAATGAGACAAATCGGGCATGCGTCAAAGTGGGCGGAGTTTGCCACAAAACTTCAATAACTTGGTTCCAAGAAGTTGACGAAAGATCGGAACTTAATAGGATTGAATGTTGGGGAAAAAGATGACAGTCAACGCTATCGTGTGCGCATGCACTCAAAGGGGCGGTTTTTGGCCACCCAAAGAATTAATTGCTTCAATACTGCGCCTCCTACATAACCTCACCAGTTTCAGTTCGTAAATGAATTAGAGTCCCAGAAACCGTCCGGCCCAAGAGGTTAAGGAGAAGGAGGTAGAATATAAAAGTTTGGTGTTGTACCATCCCGAATGGGCGAAGTTGCTCCACTCTATAACTCCGGTCCTACGAAGTCCCGGCACGGCGAAAATATGTGGACAAGGACTGTGGAGTAGGATGAATATTAAAATGCTCGTTGGTTTGGCTAAACACTGCACCAAAAATAGGCGGGCGCGCCGCAAAGATACATGCTCAACTTTCACTCCCTACAAAACCTCATAAATTCGCTCTGAAAATGACTTAAAGACTCAAAAAATCGCGTACAATACCGCTACTCAATTTTAATGTTCAAATTCGACGAAATGCGACGCGTCAGTCCGTCGCAACCGTCTGCCGCCATAACCTGTGCAAATGGATATTAGTTCATTTGAAAAATTATACCCTGGATAGCCCTGCTCACGAATAGAATCACGGTATATGGGACATATGATTTCGCTGAATTTTCAGCCTCCATTCTCATGCAAATTTATCAAGTTACCTGAGGCTGCTTAATATGCGCCGTCGCTCGCTCTAAATTATAACCAGAGTGGGAAAGGTAATTGATGAAGTTATTAAGCGAGTAATAGTTAGTTTATTATTTTATTCGCTATGTAAAAGTGAAGCCGACTGTTAGGTTTTTTCAAATAGTACTCGTCAATTCGGTACCGATTCATCCCAGTGGGTCACGCTTTGATAACAGTCCTTTTTCTCATGGAAAAGCTCTTTGACCGACAAGTCATAGCAACACTAATAGGATCGAGCCTTTGTCACTTAACTTTTCCTTTTCTACAGAGCCAACCCCGTGACGAGAATGTTTATTGAAGTGCCTACGCCTCCACACGGCTGTCAAATTTTGAGTTCTCATCAGAGGTAACTCACTATTTTTCCATGGAAAGAAAATACAGAAACAGACACAAGAAAAGGTACAGAAAGTATACCCCCATGTAGTTCCTCGTTAAAAACTTCTTACATTAAATATAAATTAATCAAATCACAAAATTCTCTGTGGTTTTTTCTGTTTCTATGCAGCCATCTCTACTTTGCACTAAAACCATTCGCCAAGTAGGCGTCTCGCCGAGCTGCTGCCTCCGATCTCTGTATTACCGAAGGGCTTTTGTCGCACCTCAGATCAACGCAGGATAGGTGAGACTGTGTTATATTTTTATACGACAGCAAATGTCGAACTTAGCATAATCAGAATATATCACTGCGTCCGCATTACGTGTACCCTGTATAGTACAATGCAGTTACTGCTGTCACCTCAGTGTCTCCCAGTAATCTTACAATAAATCTTACTGACAAATCATTAGAAGCATTGACACTTAGCCTATGACGCACCTTTGACCTATGGTTTTCAGCTCTTCCAAAACTGATTAACATTTTCTTGTGCCTTACGAGGTTGTTCGGTGGAACGTTTATTGATGGCCTAACGTTTCGACTGAATCGTCGTCTTCAGAGGCCGTCGGTTCCACCCTTCGAGCGGAAAAGTCCGCTGCCACACAGAGCGCTGATCAGTTAATTAGAGTTCAGTAGCAGCGGACTTTTCCGCTCGAAGGGCTTCTGGAGAAACGTTAGGCCATTAATAAACTTTCCACCGAACAACCTCGTAAGGCACAAGAAAATTTGTTAAACTTACAACTGAGATGCCGAGGTTACAAGAAGAGAGAAGTTGGAGAATTCTTCGCAATGATGTAAAAGACTTGAGGGCGAGGAGCATGGATTTTGACCTCTAGCTCTAGATGATGGAGAAATGAGAGCCATCGAATTGAGTTTGTCTCGGTGGTTCGTGGTGGAAGACAGCTGAGTGCCAATGTTTATTCGGGGGCGACCTTTCGAGGTGGTCGCTGAAGACAGAACTAACCCTACTCTCTCATATCATCTACTCTGGGTATCTTCATTGATGATAAGTCTGTTGATGTTGATCATTCATTCATTCTGTAACTTGTTTTGACCAGCAATCATTGTAGCTGTAAGCTGCAATACTGCCCCGGCATGTAAGAAGTGGCACTCGACTCTGAACACAACTCAAATCATGAACAAACTGAACACTTTTATACAATAAACATGAACAACCAAAAGTCACTATGCGTAGCGTAAGAGTTTCATGCGTATCACTGAATCTCGTCCAACTGGCGATATAATTCTTTGATGCGTTCCTTGGCGTTTTTCCTCCTTTCAATTGCCTCCTTTATTCGTCTTCGTATGTACTCACTTTTTTCCGGTAATTCACATAAAGCCGAGTGATGACCATATTCGTTGCAGTGAAAGCATCTCAACCCTTTTTTCTTACAATTATGGCCCATCAGACAAAATTTGCAGCGTCCTTCTGCTTCAACGATTTTCAGGCGCTCTTTCGAGCTTGGGTAAGCTTCACACGAGTCTGAATAATGTTCACCTACTTTCCCGCAGAAGGTACACACCATGCCTCTTTCATCCTCTCTTTGGATGATCCCCTTTCTGTAGTCTCTTGGGTTACATGTCGGTTCCATGTCTAGTTCGTAAACGATGTTTTCCATCTTTTTCACTTCTCGTTCTGCCTCTTCCAAATCATTCCATATTCTTTCTTTCCATAGCTTATTGTGTGTCGTTATTGAGTCTTTCTCCCATTCATCTTCGGTCATATCCTGCACTCCTTCCATGTATTCGGCGTTTCTTCTTATTCTTTCACTTTCGGTTTCACTATACATCTCGTCGTCTCCGTCCCTTGACGGCAGCTCGCTCTTGTAACGACCGTCGTTACCCTCGCCAGCCCAATGCTCGATTTGGTCGTCTGATAAAGCATTCGCGTTTCTTTGTAAACATTTTTGGAGCAAATTTGTGATTTCTTCCTTGATGTCCATCAAAGTGTCTGCTTTCGGACCGCTGTCGTTTTTCTCAGAATGTAATCCCTGTTCGAGCGATTCTTTCAAGTGATCCAAAGAGGCAAGGACGGTAGTTTGGAAGGTGCGTGTTGCCTTGCGTTCTTCCTCTTGTAGCATTCTGCGGTAATCGTTGAGAATGGATTGCTGTTCGTGTAGGATCTCCATTTGGTCTTCAATAACGGTCTCAATCGTCTCATGTTTCGTAAGTATTGAGTTCTCCTCCTCATCGAATTGCGTTTGTGAGATGATCGCTTTCCAATTGTTTTCCGAAATGATGTCCGTGGCAATGAGAAGTGGTGGTACTGCGAAAAGAGTACGGAGTTCCGTGCGAATTAGCTTGAATTCGAGAAGTGTCTTCTCCGTTAGGGTTTCAATAAGTTGGAGTTCCACCAGTTTTTCTTTCCAGTCCTCTTGCGACTTCCAGAGATTCTTAATGCGTTCCATAAGCGTGGACATATTACGCGTTGTCTTATGCAGGTGTCTGCAGCAGTTGACTATCTTCTTGTAAAGTCGCGTAGGTGACGGGAGTGGTGGCAGTGCGTGTACAAGGCGTTTATATTTTTGTTGAACTTCGGCGTTGTAACGGTCCATTCTCTGAAGAAGGTATTTCATAGGAAATGGTGATGCCCATACAAAAACTATGCCACTATGTAGTGATTTGTTATTTAATGCGTATGGCGTTAGATGAATTGCGTTTGGACACCCTGATAGTACCCAAATTATGTTAATGTGCTTTCTTAGGATGTCTAAAAGGATCTCGTCTCTTGCTTGAGCAATTTTTGCATCCTTTGCTAATGCGGATCCATGGATATTTATTTTATCTAAATGCGCGCAACATGAGATGTACAGGGAACTCTCTTTCGTTTTACAGAGGATGGCGTTCGAATATATGGTCTTTAGTGTGAAATGGGAGTTAATTCCTAAAGAGACCTTGTAGAGAGAGCTCATAACCTCTGGTAAAAATGTCGTTATATAAGTTACTGTTCCCAATTTTAGGTCGTTATGTCTGAGAGCGTAATCACTAACTGACGTGTTCGTCTCTGTAAAAAGTTGGGTCCTGTTTTTTGTGTACATCCACTTTACTCCTTGTGCGTTTGTTTGGAAGACTGTTATGATCAATGTGAGTATCATGACATGAAAAAGAAACCATTTTCGTGAAATTTTAGGTGCGCTTTTTGCAAAGTTCGTTGTTACATTTTCTACGTGATGCACTGGTTTGCGTGGTCTGAGATCGTAGAATTTTCGTTCTCCATCTTGCGTGTTCATTTCTTGCTTATTATCATTCGTATCGGCCGTGGCGTCATCGAGTTCTAATGGTACGATAAGGTTGACTGGTCGTCTTATTTTCCGTTTCGTGGCTGTCGTGAGCTCTACTTCTCTGACTTGCCCGTCTTTTCCAGGATGCAAGTTTGTGATCCTGGCTAATTTCCATGCGTTACGAGGTATGAGCGGGTCGCTTACAAGTACAACGGCACCAACTTTTGGTTCTAATTTGTTATGTCGTTGCTTCGATATAAATTTTCTATGTGTTTCGCGTAGGCTAGTTAGATAGTGCTCTTGCCATATGTTCCAAAACCGATCAGTGATCTCACAAGATGATCGTAATGCATCTTCTGCATCCTTTCTCGTTCGAAGCGTCGGTGTTTTATTTGAGCGTATAGTGTCCGAGTCGTTCACTGAAGTTTGCTCTGTGCTATCGTATGGAAATGACAAATTCAAGTCACGTTGGATGAAGTCGACGGGGCGTATGGAGCTGAAGTCTTGTTCTGAACTTTGGTATGTTAATGGTCTTGAATTGAGACATGCCTCGATTTCGCATAGTGTTGTTGTTAAGTCGTCACTGGATTTAGTTGGTCTCGCTCTCATCGCTTTGTACAATGCGTGCTTTATGGATTTTATGAGTCGTTCGTAGAACCCGCCCTGCCATGGTGCATAAGGGGTTATTTGGTACCACTGAATCTCCTTTTCCGATATTAAATCAAGGATTTCTCTGTGCATATGTTTCTCATGCATTTTCGCGTTCAAAATTTCAGCGCAAAGTAAAAATGAAGGTGCGTTGTCACTTGTTATTGAGCTAGGTACTCCTCTGCGTGCTATGAAACGTCTTAAAGCGTGCAAAAATTCTCCCACTGTTGCGTTTTTTACTAACTCCAAATGAATCAGTCTGGTTACGGTGCATGTGAAAATGCACCCATATGGCTTCAATCGCTCTTCACCATCTGTGGTTGTTGGAAGTTCAAAGAGATCAACTCCAATGTGTTGAAACACATGATGTCGATTTACACGTCTGCTCGGTAAGTCTGTCATTTCCGGATAGGTGTACGGGAGACCATTGAATCTACGACATTTCACGCAAGCTTTTACTATTTGACGTACTTGTTGCCTCAACTTGGGAATCCAGTATTTTGATCTAACTGTTGCTATCGTATGTTCGATTCCTAAGTGGTAAAGTCCATGTGTGTCTTTTATGATCAGTGTTGCGAGTGGAGTTTTCGGGTGAATGAATATAGGATATTTTGCCTCTTCGTTAAGTGAGGAGTTTCCTATTCTCCCTTTAGAACACCATAATCCTCTATCATCTTTGAAAAGTCGTAGCGTATTTTCTACGGACTTGCGAAAATTAGTTGTATTATGTACTGCTTGGTGGTTCCGAATTAGTGCGTATCTTGCTGCGGTAATATCGCTCCCTCCGATAGTACATAGTGAGTCGGAGAAGTTTTGTAACTCTCTGATGCTTTTAAAGATCGCTTTTTGTCTGTCGTGCGAGAATTGTTTGAGTAACTTCTTCAGGAATAGTAGAGTGAGCGCCATTGCTCTTTTTGCTTTTTCGAATGAACTGAATCTTTTCAAGTCTAATACAGATGTTATTACGGTCTCTTGGTCCGCTTTTTTGGTGTTAATAACGTTGATGCTTGGTATTTCATTTTCTAATTCGTTTAATTGTAGTTCATAAGTAGGTCCCGACCACGTATGGCAGGGGAGGCGTAGAAACTTTGGCCCTTCCCACCACATATGATCTGATAACTGCGTTCTTGTTAACCCTCGCGTCCCTGCGTCGGCTGGGTTTTCGGTTGTTTGCACGAAGTGAAAATGGACTGAAACTGATTTCCCTTTCAAGGTTTTTACTATGTTTCGTATCTCTTTGAGTCTATTGGTCACTAACACACCAGCATTAGTGTTGTTTATTGGACTAGTTAACCATGACAGCGCGATCTGGGAGTCTGAGAAAACGTGTATTTGGAAGTTTTTCTCAGTTCGCTTGCTTTCTAAGGCTTGGTATATAGAGTTTCCCAAGCGTACAGCTATAGTTATTGCGTTCATTTCCATTTTCGGTATGGTTGGATTTGAATTCAAAGACGGTAATTTGCATTTTGCCATTAACAATGTCACATCCTTTTCATCAAAGAGGTATGCGCAGGCGGACATGGCTAAGGTACTAGCGTCTGCGAAAAGCGCAAGACTGCAAGTGTTGATCTCGTTTGCGAATTTCCTGGGTAAAGATTTTTCAAAGCCGTCTGCATCGGAAACAAGCTTATTCCATTTCTCTTGTATCTGCGTGGGTAGAGTAGTATCCCAAGCGTACTTGCGTTTCCACAGTTCTTGTTGGAATCGTTTTAGCTGAGTCAATAGCGGTACCATGAGTCCGAAGGGGTCGTAAATAGATGATATTTGCCGCGCTACTATGCGTTTTGTTAAGTTAGGTGACTTCGGAAAATCGCAGCGAATTGTTAGTGTGTCGTTTGTACTGTTCCACTTAACACCTAATATTTTCTGTGTCGTGGAATTCGCAAGAGCATCTTGTGGCAAGGCTGTAATAATGCTTTCATCATTGGAGAGGAATTCACGTAAGTTCATTCCCATGTCCGCAAAAATTTTTCTGGTTATGGTAGATTTGCGTATGGCTTCATTTTTCGTATCTGCGCTCAGTATGAGGTTGTCAACATATAAATTCTCTTGGATTTCATTTCCCAAGTTAGTGTCACTGATCTTTTGTAAATGATGTTGAATTGTAGCGCTGAGGAGGAATGGAGAGGCGTTTAGTCCAAAAGTAACCCTAGTAAAGCGATAGGTGATAACATTTTCCGCGGAGGGCTCTTTATTGCAATCGCGTAGCCAAAAAAATCTTGTCGCGTCTCTGTCGCATTCGTGTAGACGGACTTGCAAAAAGGCTTTCTCTACATCTGATGTTACTACGATATTCGATGCTCTGAAGCGTAATAGTACAGCGTAGATGTCTGGTAGGATCAGTGGTCCTTGGTGCAGCACGTCATTAAGAGAAGGGTGACCCTTAAAATGCGATGATGCATCAAAAACAATGCGTAGCTTAGTGGTTTCCTTATGAGGGGTGATAACAGGTTGATGAGGAATGTAATGGATGATCCCTGTTTCTTTCTGGTTATGTTGCGGGAGCTCTTCTATGATACCACTTCGCAGTTGAGTTTTTATGGTGTTATCATAGTCCGCTAAAAGCTGTGGGTGGGCTTTTAGGTTTGTGGTGACACTCTGAAGGCGTTTTTGTGCAATAGCTTTATTAGTGGGAAGTGGCGGGTGATTCTCTTTGAACGGCAAGCGTACGTAATACCCGTCCTCCTTCTTTTCGATAGTGTTGTTGAAAAACTTTAATACTTTTTCATTGATTGCTGATTTTTCTGCGTTTTTTGTTCCTGAGAATTCGTATATTCCTGCCGAATCCATTGTCCAGTATTTGTCCCACCTCTGTCTATCTGTTTCGTCATCAGTCATTGCTTGAATCATGGTCACCATACTGGATTGAACGTCGTATTCTTGAAATTCTTGGCACTGCGTTACTTGTTGTGTTCCCGTTAGAAGATACCCTAATTTTGAAGGTATAACTCGTAACCCAGATGGGAGAATGTAATGTGGAGAGGGGGATTCTAGCAGGTTCCATAGTTGATCGCATCCAAGGAGGATTTGCGGTTTGGTTGGGCCTCCCGTCACGATAGTGGAAAGGCAAATGTTGTTGTGCATCATAAAGTTTTTGTCTTCTTGACTTAGCTGTGTCATTTTTCCCTTTGCCGTTAGGACTGGTGTTGCGTACAGACGTATGTTATGTTTTTCTCCATTGCTGTCCAGTAGCCCTACTGTTGTCACTCCACAACTAATGGCCTTCGGCTTTTTGTCCCCGAAAGTATACATATTCAACTCTTGCATTTCTTTGCACTGTAGCCCTAGTTCTTCTGTAAGGTCCTGGCTTATGAAAGACTGATCAGCGCCTGTATCGAAGAGGATTTCAACTGGTTGCCATTTCTGGCTCTTTGCATTCCATAAGTGTGCTATTCCGGTTAAGAGTACAATGTTTTCTTTCTGCATTGTACTGTGGGGCATGAATGAATGGTAACTGTTGCCTTTGATTTCTTGTCCTTCTTCTTCTTGGATATTTTCTTCTGCTGCACAGAGTCGGATTGGATGTGCTTGTGTGATTTTTGAAGTTTCTGTGTTTCGTTTGTTTTTGGTATTTGTATTCAACTGTGCCCTGACAGATGGTTTTTTGATTGATGGTTGTGTAGGTTGCACTATGGTTGGTTTCATTTCGGACTTGATCGGATTATCAATGCTTTGTCTCTGAGGGCATAATGCGTAGAAGTGTTTTGTCCCTTGGCAAAGTCTGCATCCTTCTTTGCTACACTGAGATGCAAAGTGACCTTTGCGTCCACAATTGAGGCACATCTTATTTTCCTGCAGAAAGTTCCTCCTTTCTGCAATGGTGCTGTAACGTGAACAGCCTGCGGCTCTGTGCTCTGTAGAGTCGCAAAAAATGCAATTTGAATGGTTATGCGGTTTTGTTGGTCTCCTTTTTGACCCTTCACCGCGTTCTGATTCCTTGCCCATATCAATTTTTACCATACTATTGATACGTTCTTCCGTTCCTATATGTGCGTCTAGTGCCTCAATCATGTCTTGCATTTTCCATGCTTCCTCAGGCATGTCATGCGTCATCAAGACCTCAAGAACTTTCCGTTGTATTCTGTATGCGAACTTTGATAATACTTTTTGAGTGTTGTATGACCCATCTAAATTGGCTCCTAGTTTTTGGAGTTGCGTTACTACGGGGATAATAAACTCTAATAGTTTCCTTTGTGCCTGTATGGAACTTTTGTCCGTGTTTGCATTCTCGAGGCGTTTGTGTAACACTCTTACAAGATCTGCGCTATTCCCATATTTTTTGTGTAAGAGGTTAACTGCCGAGTCGTAATTGTCACCAGTGATCGGGTAACGTCTGACCAGTTCCCGGGGCTCCCCCTGGAGCGCGCTTAATAAGTAGTTGAATTTCTGTAACTTCGTTAGCGAGTTCTGTGCGTCAACATTAGCATAGAATAACGTCCAGAAGTTATCGTACTCCCAAATCTTCCCATCGAATGTGGGTATAGGGATAGCTGGAAGTTTTGGCGTTTTCATTTCAAGCTGTCCTATACTAAGGACCTGCGTTCGCTCGTTGCGCATTTCGCTCTCCCGCTTAGAATCGAGTACGCTGAGGCGTTTTGCTTCCATTCGAATAACTAGGTTCTCCGCGCGGTCTATTGCTGATTGCGTTTTCTCCATATAATCCAAAACTTGTCCTTCTTGTTCTTCGTTAAGCGGTTCATTAAGCCCTTCAACTGTGCTAATGAATGCGCTGAGATGCTCACTGAGTAGTTTTGCTGAGGCCTTCAATTCGTGGGTTAAAGATGCCATGCGTTCAAACACATCACTATCTGAGCTTAACGAAAGATTTTGGAAGGAAATGTCTTCCTCGCATCGCATACACAAGTCACTAAGATTGTTGCAATGCCTCGTTAACCGACTCTTCTGCGTTTTCAAAGTTAGAGACCCCGCCATGGTTACTACCGATTGTGTAGCCATCTATCCCGCTTATGCGTTGTATATTGAAAGCGTACCTCTTACTTCTTGTCGTCGATCCGATGCTCCAGTGTGTCGATATAGCACGATGCACCAGTGTCTCGGTGGTTCAGTGGTAGAAGACGGCCGATGCACCAGTGTCCGGTGGTTCGTGGTGGAAGACAGCTGAGTGCCAATGTTTATTCGGGGGCGACCTTTCGAGGTGGTCGCTGAAGACAGAACTAACCCTACTCTCTCATATCATCTACTCTGGGTATCTTCATTGATGATAAGTCTGTTGATGTTGATCATTCATTCATTCTGTAACTTGTTTTGACCAGCAATCATTGTAGCTGTAAGCTGCAATAGTTATATTGTTATATTGTTGTTGTGCATATAGGCGGTGATGAAGAGCTCTTAGAAGTCGGCAATTTTCATTGCGACGTCAGTTCACTTGTGGCACTATGGGCGCCAGACGCTAACGGTGCGTTGTGGCAGTGTCTGCAACGGCCACGCTTGCGCAGTGTTCGCCCGATTAGACAAACGTCTCTCGGCGAACATCACACTCGCATGTTCGAGCCGTCGTGCGTTCCGCCAACAGCACATGCGTGGATCTGCTCAACGTGCGTTATGGTAGAATCTGGGCGCAACGCCACGATTACATCTTGTATGGGGTGTAATTCATAAGTGGTTATTAGGAGTGAGGTCGTGGGTTTCTAAGCGCATATAATCTTGTTTGGGCTTGAGCAGACTGTGTCTTGTTGCGATATGGTACATTCCATTCTTGCATCTAACACCATTAATAACAGACCTCATTTAATGACCGCCCAAAGCGTTAGGATTTGCGAACACTGTGAATGAAGGGATCAGGCATAGATTTCCCATTATGATAATTGTTGCAATTTAATTCTGACGGTTTAACACCATAACCCTATTTCACCGCGGCTGAATTATCAAATTCAGGAGAATGCCGAGTGTTTCAGAGCCATATAGTGATATATACGCTGGAGGGCCTGCGGAATCTTAGGTCGTAGTGAGACGCGCCGATAAAGGGCTGCTAGAGCCGAATTGCAGCCAGAAACAGCAATAACAATCAAAAAAAATTTGAAATCAATTGCTAAGGCTTTCAGCCTGGGGAGTCTGCAGATGTCGGCCAGCGATCAAATAATGGCGCAACTTCCAAAATTTTGTTACAACCGCCCTTCCTTTTCAGGGGAGACTGATTAACTACGACCTCGTATTACGAATTATGTCTTTCACATGAATTTAAGTGCTTCATCATTGGATGTTGGGCACAAACGGGTAACGTGGTGACCGCTTTAATGTTGCGTGGAATTAAGAAGTGCTGGACCGCTGTCTTAACAGGTGGGTTGAGTTCACAACGCTTGTAGCGAATTAGATTACATTACAAGACCCGTGCCATTAGAAGGTTACCTTTTTTTCAGAAGCGGGTCTGAATGGAACCGTCACAAAAAGTTTTCAATTGATCCTTCCTAGAAGTTTAAATGTTGCTATATGCTCCTATTTCAAAAAATCGTCGGCCGTTTGTTCCGTTTTTGGTTTGTGCACCGCGATTTTTCGACATTCAAAGCTTTCATAGCCTTGGTTCATAATCACCTTTCGTGAGGATGTGTGGGCTAGTTAGAAACGTAGAAGGATGTAGCGTTTTGCAAAAGCAAGGTCCACCAGGGTTTGTCGTAGGCGACTGATTGCTCGTCAAAAAATAGTCCCGTTTTCGGTTGTTTTGTTTGGGGTGGGGGGGGGTTGTGGTTCAGACTTTTGAGGAAGGCACGTGTGGGTTTCCGGACATTGCGGAAACGTTGGTAAGGCTTGTCTTCGGAGTGAACCCAAATTTTTGCAGAGTTTTGAGGGTTAATGGAGGGAGCGTAAAGATGAGAGCTTCAAATAAGTGGTGTAAAATCTTTCGTTGCAGATCACTCGTCAGAAAATGGAGGTCCGCTGGTTCCGTTGGTGTTTCACTGGGATTTTGTTTGCAGGGCCAATTTCGAACGGCGACTGATTGCGAGTCTTTCAAAGGCCAGTAATTCGCTGTCAAAATTAATGTGTTTAATGAGAAGCTGGCGCATAATTACGTTGAATGCTAATTATGAATGAATACTTTATAAAAAGTGCTAAGGAATTCCCGCCTGAAATGTCTTTCGGTTCTGCCCATATGCCTAAGGGGTTCTGGAAGGTCGAGTTTGAGAGGTTGTGCTACGAATTTGTTCGCTTAGTTTATTTGAAGGCATTCAGAAATTGCGCGTCAGAAGTTTTTTGGCCGTTCCAGCAGGTGACAAGAGAAGGCGTTTTGCATGGGGGAAAACAAAACGGCTCTGCTGCTAAGCGTCGGACTGTCGGGTGGTAGAACTCGGGTATTTCGCATTTATAAAGTACTCGATTTTCCTGAAGGAGCTACTCGTTCGTGGATCAGTGCATAATGCCGGGAGTTATAGGCTGACGTCCTTTTTCTTGCCCATGATACTACATGAACTGCTCCACACTTTATTCTACTGTGACTCTCCGACAACTGCATGGTGAAGAGCTCCTGGAGAACATTAGAGCATGAATGTGCACTGCAGGACACTGCACTTTTCAAGCCGTCTTGCAGCCCCGTCTCTCTAGATACGACCCCCTTTCCCTTTCCCTCGACCGAATACGACCCACTCGTTCTTTGCGCAACGAGCGGTGACACTGTGTGTGATGCTGACAAGTGGTACGTATAGCATGAAAACCTGAATGGGATGAAATGGTGCCGCGGTAGCGTAACTTTTAGCGCACTTGCCCGGAAAGCAAAAGGGGCGGGTTCGAGTCCCGTCAGGGCGACGGCGTTTTGTTCACACCCCAGCATTCTTGTGAGACATCGCCGGACGAATTTATTATTCGAAGAAAGTTAAAGTTAAAGTTAAGAAAGACCGATTAAAGAAATTTTTTAGTGAGCCCCGCTGTCTTGCTGCTTGACTGACACCTGGCGAGCTCCTAGGCTAGTGCCACGACGCAGCCGCAATCTTTTGAGCTTGTGAATTCGGTAGTCTTACTTTTATGGACTTGTTCACTAGCAAGCAACAACAGGGAGGTCGTACCATGATCGTCTTGAAAGGGGCGGGTTGCTTCGAAAATCATGAGGAAATGCGAACGCGACAGTTGACCCTGACTACCACTGGTCTCCACGTTTAACGCTACCTGTTGCGTTTTAAGGCCTTTGATCTAATGGGGAATTTGCGCTGAATTAAAACACAGAAAATTTCTTTTTGCTCAAGATAACCGGGTACACAGCCGAAAAAGTGTTTTCCGGACTTGAAAGCGCGCGGCGAGGCAGGTCAAAGGTTAACATTTTCAGCTGATGTCGTCTAACGGAAAAGGTGTTTCTAAAGATTTTTCTGCCTTCCTTTTCTTCACTGAGATCACTTCGCAGCTCTATTTTCATTTCCTGGGCAATTACCACTTCCATCTGACCGAACTGTGTCTTCGAACTATAGAAAACTCGAGAACAATGAAGTGATTCCTTTCGTGACCGCTGTCTTAATGCAAAAACGCTCAAAGCGATAATCTTTCACTTCGCTTCCCATGAAACGCAACCAGGGACATCAGTGCACTTGAGACGGTTGTCGGCGCATTACACCGTGTTCTGACCATGATTGTCAGTCGAGAAAACTGCGTTCGAAACAGCCAATCTTGTCCAGCGAAGGCCGCTGATCAACACTATCGCGCAATTGGTTTCCCTTCCCGTAGTAGATCTTTTACGTCCAACAATTATCGATTCAAAAATTAACTCTCGAGGATTACACGCCATGCCGATAAGTCTTCGGACCCCGCCCGATCTTTGTCATACATAGAAAGCTGTCCACGTATCGGCTTTTGCTCTTCGGAATATTCAGCAATGCTCTATATTTAATATATCTCTATATAATAGAGAACTAAACAAATAGGAATAATTAAAATATTTTAGTGCGGATCAGGTGTTGTATAAGAGCCATTTGTAGTGCGCCGTGCTTCGGTGTCCTGTTCGGAGTGTTCGGGTTGTCTCAAAATTTCTGGCCGAATTGCGACGCTTTCCCTCTTCGAGTTTTATCTTTCCTGAAAAACAACTAATCAGATTTATGACCACTTATGCGATCAATGATATGCATCCGTTTGCTAGGTGCTCTCTTCCCAGGGCGTGTTAGCTGGGGGTTGAAGAATTCGAACAGGTGCTTTTGGAATGGTTATATACTTGGCTTTCCTCGGTTACAGTTGCTGATTCAAGGCGGTCATGCGGATATAGAAAGAATGTGTTATCGTAATCCAACAAATCTCCCTAAAACGTAGCGGCTGTCTTTTCAATGTGAAGTTTGAGTGTTTCAATTTGAAAAAGGAGATTTGGGTGTTGTTTTGGAAGTTTTCAAGCACTGCTGGCTTCCACTCTCGAAGCTGTTCCATGATGACGTTCGCAATACTTGCCTCAATATGTTGAAGTGGTTATCAAAACAGAATACCCAGCGAATGCAACAAACTGGGGTAAACTTCAATGAAAAGCTCGGGTTTTGGTTGAGATGTGGGTCAAGCCTGCGAGGTAACCCCAGGCGAGCCGGGTGTTGTTATCGTAGTGGTCTCATGACTCATCTGCACGGGTTACCAGCTAAAGGAAGTCCTGTCTATACGGTCTCAGAAAGGACTTCTGCAGGTGGTTCCGTGGCCTCTCGGTCAAGGTCATTCGATGCACGGGTTTCCATCATAACTTCATGCTGCTGCAGGCCCTTCCATTCTGATAGCGACTCTGGTGCGTCGGCTGGACTCAGGAACTTACCGCATACTCCTTGTAAGCGTCTGGATACAGTCACAACTCATGCCGCAAGAGGTCTATCGAAAGTGATTGGAGTCCACGATTATAATTTAATTTTAGCAGCTCGATTTTGAAGTGTGACGTTGCAAGTGCTTGATCGCTTGTAGAGACTGATTAAGACACCGCGTGATCTTGTCTGCTATCCTCTTCGCAAGATTCTCCATTAATGTTCTAACTAATC